CGGGATCTTGGGCATGCACACACACGCACCCGGCGTGAGTTTTAAGCCACCGGGTCCGGGACGCGAACCACGGTCGACTACGTGGGAGTCCAGCGACATAGCCATTACGCTAACTGCTGGTTCCCCCAGCCTGCCTTTTAAAGAAACCAAATACTATTCCCCTAGAGGTTCATTTTAAACATGTTCAACAGAGCATTAATTTCTTATAGAAAGGGGAAGTGACTTTAACTTTTATTCTGTGGCTTGCTCTAGGTGGTAATCTGATCATATGGAACAATTGACTATGACAAAGCCTCTCTTTCATTTTCTTTTCCTAAAAGTGCATAATTTGGGCACTGCTAACTTTCCCTTAAGAGCTTTTGTTGCTTAGGTCTTCATTTTGTACAATTTTCTCTGGATTTCCTACTTTGTTTCTTTGATGTCTAGCAAAGATTTAAAAGTAAATGTGAGTCAAACACTCTAAGCACAATAGAAAATGCAGGTCAGGCCTGTGTTTCCTGTTGCTTATTGGTTTGTGAAAACAGTAAATTGTGGTCCACAGAGCCTTGGGGGGGTTCCTGCTATCAATCCTTTGACATCTTTGAGTTTTCTTTTCTTCTTCTTCTTTTTTTTTGATTGGCCAGAAGGTCTGGGTGCTCAGCAGGACCCAGGGAAGAGGAAGGTGGAGGCAGAGAGTGAGAAAATATGCAAGAAAGCATCCCTCTTCCCCCACTGTGGAGCACAGCCATGCTGTAATCCCTCCTCCATTTCTCCCTCCTTGCCGGATTTTGGGCATGCATGCACCCATGCCTGACGTGTTTTCAAACTGCCAGGTCTAGGACTTGAATTCAGATCCAGCTGCCTTAACCGCTAGCCGATGAGGTGGCCCTCTTTAAACAGCTCTGTTGAGTTTTAATTGACATATCATGTCCCTGAGTTTTACCAAGATTTTGACTTTCTTATTTAAACTACTTTAGTGTTGTAGTTTTAGGTTTGAAGTCAAAGGACAAGAAGAACAGGAAATTGCATTTATTGTGCTTGCCCTTCATGATTCTATTTATCACATCTTTCTTGAGCTCAGTGAGCCTGGCATTGTGGAAGGCTCTACAAGGTGGTGGTCCAGGACATGGATGCTGGAGTCATGTGGTCTGGGGTTTAAATCGCAACTCGACCAGTTATCAGCTGTAGGACCTTATGACTTAAATATTTTCTCTTGTGTCTTGGTATCCTCATTTGTCCAGTTAGGACACTCACAGAGTAGGGTCCAACTCAGGATTGTCATAAACATGAACTGACGTAAAAATAGAGTGAGATGATGATAATTGCAATGATGACCATGATGTGCATTCTGAAGTATCAAGACTCAACCAGACACTTCCTTGTCTCATTGCTCCTCAGTCATGAGTTTGTGTGCGTGTAGGGCTGAGGTGCTGAGGGATGAGGTTAGAATGTAAGACAAAGGTTAGTAATTAATTACAGTAAAGCATGGTAAGCACGGTCAGAGAAGCATACTAGAGAAAGCAGTATTAAAGCTGAAATGTAAAGGGGACATAAAAGTTAACTATGCCTGGGTTGGCAAGGGGAGCTTGTGTTCTGTGTCCTGGGCAGAAGGAACAACAGATGTGAAGGTCTAAAGAGAAAAACAATGCAGTGGTATTTGAGCAACTACAGAAACCTCCTGAGCCTAGAATATTGGTTATGAGGAGAGTGGGGCTGGCAAAAACAGCAGAAACCAGATCACTTAAGTCATATTAAGGAGTCTGGTAATGATGAGCCAGGTACTGTCCTTGGGTATTTCCATTAATTCCTTTAAGCATTGCAACTCTGTGATATAGTTATTATTAGCTCCATAAAAAATCGTCACTTGCCCAAAGGCACAGGCTTTGAAGGTTGTACAGTGAGGGACCAGCAGTTAGCATAATGGCTATGTTGCTGGATTCGCATGTAGTCAACCGTGGTTTGAGTCCTGGACCCAGTGGCTTAAACTCACACCGGGCATGTGTGCATGCGTGTCCAAGACCTCGAGAGGAGAATGGAGGATAAGGGATTGTGGCATGGTCATCCCCCTGCCCCGGGGTGGGTGGGTGGGAGGTTTCTTGCTTTCTGTCTCTGTTTCTTTCTGTCTTTCTGGCCAGCGCACATGCCCTATAGCAAAAACTTCTCAAAAAAACAAACAAACACAAAGGTTGTACAGTGAGACTTTTTTTTTTTTTTAAAGCAAACTGGCTTTTTTTGTTTGTGTTTCTTTTTCCTTGAAGAATTATTTTATTCAATTTTATTTATTAATTCACTTAATTTGACCAGAGAGGGAAAGAAACAGAGACA